TGAATAGGCATTATCTCCGAGAAGACTCGTATAAGTTTGCCACCTATTCGAAATTAGTTACAAATTAATTAAAACATCATAATATCGGTATTAAATGGAAGGTATTTGAAAGATACCTGATTCAAAAATATTTTTAATAGGGTTGCCACCCATTTTGAATCGCATATTTATTTAATTTTTTGTTTAGGAAAAAAAGGCAAAATATTACTAGATATTCATGGGTACCAAGAGAAGGTTCTTAAACAATGCTTTACCTATATACAAAATGTTATCTCTTAGGATAATAGTGTAAGGTTGCCATTTATTTTCGATTCTACACAATTTATCTAAAACATCGCAATATGGATATCCAATGAAAGGTATTGTTAAGAGCTTTGGTCAGAAAATATTTTCCATCAGGGTTGCCACGTTTCTATGCAATACAAATTTTTATTTTGTTAATTTTAATCAAAATTTTTTTATGTATACACAGTACATAGACGCTCAAGATATGTACCTTTCATTCCAGCGTATTTCGGAATAGGGTTGCCACTTAAATTTTGGAGTAAAAAATTTACTTAATAGTAATCGAAGTCCTACTTTTTTTTGTTTATTTCCAAAATATTTTTTTAAAGCTTCCAAATCTTGAAAACTTTAAAAATTATATGCACTCCGGGCATAGCTCGGTCAACCTGGTACTTACATATAGATAAAAATCCGTAAATGTTATCGATAAAAATGTATAAACAAGTTTTGCGAAAAAGCAATATTTAAAAAATAGCTTTGACAAAAAACAAAACTATCGATAATATATCGATAGCCTCATAAAAGGCATCGATCACAACGTAAACGAGCTTTTGCAACATTTAATCGGCGTGAGTTTGAGTTCATGAAAAAATAGAAATATATTTAAAAAAACTCTGTTCTAGGGTAGCCTATTCTAAAGTCTCAGCAGTTGAATGAGCTATGCCGAGCAGCATTACAAATTGTGTGGAATGCTTTATTAAAAACAAAAAAAAAAAAAAATATCTTAAAAATTAGACCAAATGGTTCTTTTCAAAAAGACGATTTTTTCTTTCTATCAAAATCAGCCTATTTTAGCATATTTTGAGCAAAAACAGCAACTATTACCTTTGAGAAACGTGACAATGATGCTGGTTCGTGCTGCTACTATTTACTTACTTATTCAAAAAACAAAAATGAATCGCAACAACAACCGATTCCAAAGTTCAAATTAACAATCAAGTGTAGTGTTATAAACTAAACAATCCTTACTTATGAAGGAGCTCATAAAGCAATGCTTGAAACTACATATTTTCATAACAGCCGACAAGCACAGTAACAACAATAATAACAAGAACGATACAAGCCTAAACCGACACAGCGGAAGATGTACATACAAACCACTTGTCGCTGTCATCACCACCATCATTGGACGATTAGCTGAGTTGAGCGCGTGAGTGTTGCTGCCGGTGTTGATGGCGGTGCAGCTGTCAAACAGCAATAAACGCGGCTAGAATATTAAATTGTCCGTTTACGCCATATCATCAACATTCTTCTCAACAGACATTATCAATAATTTTAGTTCATAAACAACTAAACAATCGCCCGCATTCGACGCGACAATGGCGCATAGCATCGCAGCAAAACAAATTGAACCGCTAACTGACTTAACTACTCATCATTTACAAAATATTTCGTTGTGCCGTTGTGGCATCAATCAATTTTGTATGCGAAACGCGTATGAGACAGCTAGTTAGCGCTGCCCGACTCTGTAAGTGTATATATGTATGTATATAGCCCCGGAGCAGAAACGCGTGCCCGTGCGATTTAAAGATCAAGTTCAATGAAACGCAGACAACTGCAGCGCAAGCAGCAACTACAAAAAATATTAAAATATTTAAAATGAAAACATAAAGTAATTGCACACATTCGAGTATAAAAACTGAAAAAAAAAACACAAACTTATTTTAAATACAAAAGCAATTCGACAGCAAAAATAAGAAAGCAAAAAAGCAATGGGTATGCGAAAATTATATTTAAAATAGCAACAAAAAAGAATGAATTAAATTTAAAATAGCGATGACAAAATTCAGCAGCGCGCTATTGTTGCTGCTTTCGGCTCTTTTGTTGTTGTAGACAATGCAAAATACGATTTGGTATAAAGAAGTATGTAAATACATATAAAATTTAGCAAATCAACAAAATGCGCAAAAAAAAAAAGAATTGGCTCGCATGAGAAATGGCTTATATTTTGTTTATTTTATTTATTGAGCTGTTGGTTTTAATACATAACAAAAGGGAGCTGAAGAAAAAAACGAGAGTTTAAGAGCGTATTGCGTAGGCAGCGCAGTAATGAAGAGTACGTTGGCGGAGTGAAGCCTAAGAAGGAGGTGATTTCATATAAACACTTTCGGTAATAGAAGGGAAATGACGTTCTTACTTTAGAAAACAAAATCTTTTTAGATTTTCAAACTATATAAAAAAAAAAATGTACTATGGATCAAATTATATTTATAAGCAACTTCGAAGCAATGTAATTAAAAATTATTAAAAATGAACTGTGTTTACTTTTCGTAAGGTTTTAATATAAACTTCAACGAAAAAATATCAAAAGCAAAATTAAAAAAAGAAGGAAAACAAAAATAAAAAACAAATATTTTTTTAATAAATTTTTTTTTAATTTTTCTATATTTTTATAACAAGAATTGAAAAAGTCAAAAATTTTAAAAGGTTGTTCTAGACTTGCATAGCAATTAAATGGCCCCTTACTCAGTAAAAAAATTACAACTGTTGGTAGTATCGGTTTAAAGATATTAGTAAACTTACGTGCTGGCGGGACGTTACAAAAAACCGAAGTGGACTTTGACTTCAACTACAAAATTGTATAAAAGCTTTTGTATGTGTATGTGAATCAAATCAGACCATAAATACGGGTTTTCATAATATCTCGACCCTGGCGCCACCTAACGAGACCATTTTTGGCAAACATGTTTCTGCTTACATAACCAGTATATATTATAACAAGTAATTTTTAGCAAAAAAACCGACTTAAAAAAAAATATATATATATATTTCATGATCCAAAGATTGGATCTAAACCAGATTAGTATGGGACCACCTGAGGCTCTACCTTTCCGATGCTAAAAGAATTATAGAAATCGGTTGACGTGGTCCAAAGTTATGCGGTAACATAAATAAAAATAAAAAAAATATTCCGACGAACTGCTAACCTCGTCCTTTTTTGGAAGTCGGTTAAAAAGCAGCCAAATCGGCTAATTTATTTTTCGCGTTAGACTTTCCGCAGGAATATCCCATATGTAGTTTCTTTTAATTTTAAATCTCCGCTTTTTGTTTATTTTTTTTTAGAAACTTTGTATTTTTTTACAAACTTTTTTTTCATTTTTTTTTTACAAACTATGGTTGTTTTTTTAGAAACATTTTATTTTCATTTTTTAGGAACTTTTTTATTTTTTCATGTTGTTTACTTTTCACTTATATTTTTTGTTTTATTTTTTACTTTTTAATTTTTTAATTTATCATTTTATTTGCTCTTTTATTATTTTCATCAATTCATCATTTAAATTTTCTTGTGCTTTTTAAATTGAAAAATTAACGAAAATGGGATTAAACACATCACGCGGTTGTTACTAGCAGCGATAAAAAAAATTGAGATATGAAAAAATTATACTAAAAAAAAACTCATTTTGAAATCCTATCTAAATAACTCAAAAAATTTGGATTTTTGAACCACCGAAATTAGTAAGTCCAAATTAAAAAAAAAAACAAATTTCCTCAAAAATTTCTATAAAAAATGCTTCTCTTACGATTCGGCCCTAAAAGATTCCCCTCATAATAAACCCGTTATTTAAATAAGTACTAGAAGTAATCCATACATTTTCGGAAACAAAAACAGAATGCCGAAATTTTCCATGATATGAAAAATGTTTAATTTCGGCTTTTTTGTAAGAACAAAAAGTAGGCAGCACATTAGCAAATGTAGAAATTTACGAATTTTTACAATTACACCGCAAAAATCATTATTCTCAGATGAAAAGCCTCTATTTTACAACTGAAAGTTGGGTAAATAATTTTCAGAAACATAAATTTCGGAATTGTCATACTGCTACGCCAAAAAAAAAATCAATGAGGATCTAAATAAATTTTTGAAAATAAAGGTTTCAGAGCTTATTATCCCCTAAAAGTCGAAAATGTAAAAACATAAATTGTTAAAATTTTTTTTTTGAAACCCTCAAATAGCCCATAATTTTAAAAAATAAAATTTTTTGATTTTTTTCAAAGTCAAAACTTAAACTAGCCAATTATAAATAAATAAATAAGTATACAAATCAAAAAAATAGAGCTCGATTTTTATGGCAAAAAATATGCCTAAAAATATGTACCCGCTTAAGTACTATAAGCCAGGGCTTCGGTGCAAAGTTTTTTTTTCCGCTCTTGCTCCCAATATTTTTTTATTTTTTTATTCACATATTAGCCCTGACCGCCAAGAAAAACTTAGGCGAATTTTTTTTGAAAATTTTCTGTTTAATGCAGAAATGCATCTATAACTCTTCTGTATCCAAAAGAAAATTTAAAAAAATTGCCAAGTTAATTACTAAAATTGAATGGAAATTTATGGTTGTTTTCAGTGGCGAAAAATTAAAGTTTGAGTAAATTTATTAACTGATTTTTTTTTTTAATTTTTGTGGAAAAACGACAATATAAATATTTCAAAATAAATCGTTACTAGGCCAGGAAATAACAAAAACAAAATATTGAACATTTTTCTTTAAGGAGCTAAGAAGCAAATGAATTTATTCAGCACTTTGCTCCAGCTTTAATCCTTTGGCCCTTAGCTCCGTTTTCCTTTGCTCTGCTCCGCTCCGATGCCCTGCTATAAGCTAAGTGCATGCGAGTCTATAAATTTTGCTTATATGTATGTTGATATGATAGTACATATTTTTCGGCTTCTTTTTTAACATAAAAATCCGAGCTAAAACAATAAACAAACAAAAACATACCGAAAGAATAGCTGCGTTTGATCCGATGGCGTCTCATGCATATGTTGCACATTCAGCGTCTGTGGTCGCATATGGGCGGCTGTCATGAGCGCCGAGGTGCTGCTGCTGCGGAAGGTAGTTGTAACGGTCATGGTTGTATTTTTGTTATTCTTATTGCTATTATTGTTAATGGCGGTGTTGTTGTGGAGGTGCGGTACAGGACAGACGCAGCGCAGCTGCAGAGTTCTCTGTTTCCCCTCCTCCTCCTCCGGCTCTTCGTCCTCCTCATCAGCATCAGTGTCCTCATCATCATCATTTTCATCGCCGCTTGTGATGCGTTCCAAACGCTGATTAGTCGCCACCAATTCACCATTTATTTTAACTTTTTCTGCCGCCTTCTTGGCATCAATAACGCCTTCTTCACCATCAGGAGCAGCAGCAGCAGCAGCAGCAGGAGCAGCAGCAGCACCACCACCCACACATTGTGGCAAATGCAATGCCTTCAAGGCTGAATTGAATAGCTGTTCAACATTATTGCTCAAATTGTAACTCTTAGCGCTGCCACCTGCCTTATTTTGGGACGCAACGACAACGCCACTAACAGCGTCGGCGCTGCTTGCGCCATTTACCAGTTTAACGGTGGTTTTTGTAGGTGTGAGCGTTTTATTGTTGTTCGTCATAGCGGCGGTGCAGTTGCTGCTGTTGCATGAATTGGTGGCATGTAGAGCCATCGTTTTGTTCACGAGGTCGCTGATGAAAAACGGACACTGGAAGAGTGTTGCTGACTGACTGATTTACTGGGCGGCCACTCGCACTGACTTGCACTTTTGGGATTTTTTTTCGCGTTTTTGTTACTTTGTGTTGCAATCTCTGTTCACACTTCACTTAATAATGGTGTCGTTGACATTTTCCTTACATTTCTTGTGTGAGCTGCGTAAATTTGTATTTAATTGTTTCGATTTTATGGTGGAAAATGTTTATTGTTGTCGGTGAAGTAAGCGTGTGTGGGATGGAGGATATGTTGTTTATATTGTTTTTGCAAAGTGGATTGTTGTCGTTTATTTGTGTTTTTTGTATTTCCAATGTGTAGGACGGACGACGACATAAAAAGCATAGAAAGAAAGAAAGAAAAAACAAAAGAAAGAAAATTATTTTTTTTTATAAATAAATAAAAATAAAAAAAGATCAAAAATATTTTTGGCAAAATTTCAAACGCAAAAACGCATACAAATGAAAATAATTAAAAGATAAAATCACGCACACAACGGTTATAAATATTTGTTATAAATTTCTTGTATGTTTATCTACTATTTCTAGCCCCAGCTATTTATGTACATATGCATGTATGGCTGTGGGCTTGTGTATTTTGGAGCGTGAAAAATAAATAAATTTAATAAAACGTCAAAAGTCAGCACAATTTTGCCTAAGAACATCCAACATGCGCGTCGTTATTGTGGGCGGGGCTGTCGACATTCGACCAGCTGTGAATTTGCGACATTCCTCGCTGAAATGCCTACGACCGGCAATTAGATTTAAGCTGGTGGAGGCAATGCCAGCGAAAGGATATAAATAAATACATGTGTATGTATGTATGTATTAATAGCTGTGCTATTTCTAATTATGATTTATTTTAGATGGCTGAAACAATTAAATCTTTTAATGTAAAAGTTGTGTAGTTGAAATATAAATTATAATTTAAAAGTCTTGCACTTAAACGTAATTATGCCTAGATATCTTTAAAGCACAAAATGATCGGCTACTGTTGCGAAAATGAAATAAAAAATAAAATGAAGCTTTGCTCTGTGGAAAAATAGTGCTCTTTGTTCTAAAGAATTTAAATTGGCGATGACCGTTTTTTACTCAGAATTTTTAACCCTGCCTGCATTTATGCAAACATTTTTAATTTTAGCTGTATGTACATATGTATTCTCAAGAGCTAAGCAAATACATTTTGTAAATATTTTTTTTAAATTGTTTTATTTTTTACACTTTCAAATTTTTTTTTCTTATCTCTTAAATAAACATTTTTTTTATTTCATATTGCAATTATCAAGTTATTTCTTAGTTTATGGTTTTGGTTCTTCTTTCATCTTTTTACGTATCTAACTTAATTAATTTTTGACGTATTGCTTTTTATTTATTTAGTTTTATTTTTTATTTTATTTATTACCTACATATTTATTTTTTATTTTGTTATAATTTAATTTGAATTTTTTCAGTTTTTTGTTTTTCTTTTCAAAATTGTTAGTTTTTTACTTTTCAAAATCAAAAAGGGTTAAATTTTAAAATTATTTTCATAAATTTTTTATTATTTTTTTTTTTAATTCTAGTTCTCAAAATACATTGAAAATGTGCTGAGATAGGGCGTTTTTAAATAGAATTCTAAGATAAGGCGTTTTTCAATCAAATTCTGAAGTGGGGCGTTCTTGAAAAGTTTTCTGTTGTCGCCTACGTAAAGTGATCAAAATACGTGAATTTTTACATATACATTACAAATTTTAAATTTTAAATTTACATTCAAATATTAACCAAAAAACATATACAAAATACGTAAAAATAAAAATATTCCGATGCATTGATACATAAATAAATACGTAAAAATAAAAATATTCCGATGCATTGATACATATATAACCTTATATTTTTTTTAAGTCGTTTGAAAAAGTGTGAGAGATTCTACATATGTGAAAAAATTTGAAAACACACAAATTAAAAATATTTTGAAAACATTAAAAATTAATTAAGAGATGAACAGATTAAACAAAAACCAAAAAAATAAAAGTGAGTCATAAAAAAAGAATAACTAAAAAAATAAAAGTAAAAAATAAACAAACATTGAAAATAATATAAAAAAATTTAAAAAATTTTTTTAAACCAAAATAAAAATATATCAAAATATATAAATATTAAAAAAAAAAATAAATATATTTAAAAAATATGATTAGTTTTTTGATTTTGGCCGTTTTATTATAATTTATTCCGGTGTGGAGCTCAAAATTAACGAGTATTTAAAAAATATAAATATATCTATTAAAAAATATAAATATTTTACAAACAAAAAAATTTAAAAAATATTAAAAAAAGTATTAAAAGTCCAATTAAAAAACGAGTTGAAACTTTTTAAAGAAAAATCTTAAGCAATTAAAAATTGCCAAAAAATATTATGGAACTCTTATTTCTTTAATCTAAAAAATCTCACATCTTAGCCTTTCCTCGCTCGGCCTCTGCTGCAAACGCCAAAGACCAAGCAGATCAAGCTGCACACCAACGCCAAACACTTTACCAACAATCACTTGTTGTTGTTATTGCTATTGCGATTGCAGAGATATACCCGCAGCAAGCAGCAATTAAATAAAGAAAAAAAATCAACAAAATCGACGACTGGTTGGCTGTTAAATTTAGAAATGATACACCACAAGAAAACGCGCGCGTCCTCCTTCAACAACAACAACAACAGCAACAGCGGTAGCAGCTACAACAACCACTAGGTGCACAATGCAAACAAATTCAAGTCAACGAAAGGTATTAGCTATAAGCTACATATATAGTAGAGTACAGACACTAATCACGAATACAACAACAACAAAAACAGCACACGACAACAAATAAGCAATTTTTATAATGCGCGCGCACAAATTAACAATTACACCAGCAGCAACGAGAAAAAAATAAATAAACGATTTAAACGATAAATGCCGTACAAGAGGAAGCAAGCGAACGCGTTTCAAGTTGGTTTTTTTTTTTTTTTTGAGTCGCAGAAGAACAAGAAGAAGCACAAAGATTATCGGCGAAATTAAGCTGGATTGCGCTTACAGAAATTTATACGCGCGTAGCCGGCGAAGTCTGATGAGCGAATGATTTGCGCTAGCGAGAGTATCAAGCGCAAAAGTATAACCATCAACAGACAGCCAGCAGCCAACGGCTAGCCAGCGCAAATAAATAGTAATAATGAAAGAAAAAAGTTGTTGCTACCGAACTGAGCGTCGCGACGCATATATCGGTGGCAGCTAAAAGTGATTGACAGCAGACCGGTTGGTGGTGGTTGGTGTGAATGTGGGTTGCAGGCCGGTTGCTCAGAGGATGGATGACTCTTTGAAGCTTTCCGAGGCTTAATCGCTGCGCAGTTGGTGGCTGCTTTTGTTTAATCCGCGCTTGACCCTAACTGAATGTGTGTTTCTTGAGGCGTCAGCAATACTTTTTTAAGTGGCTTAGTAAATGACAATAAACTGACAACATAGCTAGCGGCAGCAGTACAAACAACAACAGCAGCAACAATAACAGCCATAACCGCAATATTTTGTTTACGACGCGACCACAATTTATCTAAACAGCAAATAAGTGCTGTGGTTAATTTTTTTAAATTTACTTTAACATTTTTTTTTTTTTTTTGTGACAATTTTGTAAGCAAAGACTTAGTTGCTGTTGTTATTTTCCTGTTTATTAATCTTGCTGCTGACGTAAAAAAAAACACGGCTAAATCAAACAGCGCCACTTACATAGCTGTAACCGCAAAGGTGAGTAAGTTCTCTTATTGTTGTTGCTGCTGCTTGCTTACGTTGTTTTCGTGTAAAGTGTCATCTTCATCATCTTTTGTTTATTTGTATGCGAATTAAATTAGACATAGTACATACTCGTATTTTTGTGCGCCGCTAAGTGTATTGGAGCGAAAATTACAACATCTCGCTTTCTCCACTACATGCTCGGATGGTTGGCTGACGTTGTTTTGCTGATTTGCCGTTGGGCTATTTGTCATTTGTTTTGTTGATATTTTATACGTATTTGTTTTTATATTTTTTTACTTCAAATTTTATTGTGCTTTATTAATAGTTATACACATATTTAATTTTAAAATCTACACACTTGCTGGCGCATATGTATGGTCGTATGACCCAGTTGGAACTTTTTTCAATAGGCCTTTTGTATGTGCGGCGTTCACTTCATGTGTGACGGGGCCCACACTTCATGTGTTTGATTTGTTTCAAATTTTTAGGGTTGATGGATAAACATAAATAATAAATAAATATGAAATTTTGAGCAATTGCAAAACTGGCGTTATTTTTTTTTTTAATTTCCTTTGAAAACGGTTTTACGCACTTTCTTCCATAAGAAAAAAGTGCAAAAAACCATCAGCATGAAAAATATTAAAAATCAACGGAATTTTGCAGTAGCTTAAAACTTGCAATTTATTACACAAAAATCTAATAGGCTACAAAACTGCATACTCAAACAAATTCTAAAAGAAATTTTAAATTTGTAATTATTGTAGAGTGCACCGCATAATACGATACTTAAATATTACGCAATACCTAGAGCGGCCATTGCGATTTTTTTAAATTTTTTTTGCGATGACATATTTTCAAAAACAAATTTTTTTATCACAAAATTTGTATGTGAAAAAATTTTCAAGAAAAAAACAAATTTAAAATTTTTTTTTTCATAGAGAATGTCGATGTGTGTATGTGTGATTCTTTTCAAATTTTTTCCTCGCCCCGTTCTCGAGATATTTGGAAAACTATCAAATCGATTTGTTTTTGTTTTTGTGCTGTAAAGTTTTTAAAAATGTATTAATCAAGCACAAATTTCATATTTATTTATTATTCATGTTTATCCATTAAAAATCTGAAACAAATCAAACACATGAAGTGTGAGCCCCGTCCAATTTTGGTAAGGAACGCCCCATGTACAGGTGTCCAGTTTTACCTATTTTAATTAATTAATTCAAATTTTTTATAAGACTGTAGCTCATTACATTAAAGGGGCGATAAAATTAGATCAGCTCATTTTTACAAGATATTTTCATTTTAAGTTTGCAATACGAAAAAATTTTAATATGAAAAATGTTACTCATACGCCATGTAGGAGTAAGTGCGAGTATGTACTGCTATGTACAATACGGCATATGAGTAAAATTTTTTCCTGTTCCCAATCCA